AAGTACAGTGATAGCTAAATACATAAGATAATCTATAATTAACAGCAACATTATTCGAGCAGGACGATCGCTAAGGTGATCAGGACCGTGCACGATGCAATTCAGTAACATTATGCAATTCAGCTTCAAATTATTTGGGTGTATTTTATTTTTTTGGGATAAATCTGATTCGGATTTTTACCCCTATCTCACATTTCAAACGCCACTTAGGGCAAGAGATATTTAGTGAATAATTTTACCGTTCATGTTCAGAATTATTTGCATAATGAGACTGTCACAACTTATAAAACTTGTTAAGCAATTGTAATACCTTAATTTAATAGTGTATAAAGACTCATATTATATCTTATGAATATATTATTATTTAATTAAAACTTAAGCATTTTGACCTTATAAATCTTATTAAAAAAAATAAGATGTATGGGTGAAAAACAGTTCAATAGTACTATGATAATACTTTCAAAAATATTTTATCTTGCGGCTCGATATGGTTGTGGATCCGACTATATTTTTAATGGATTTAGGATTCGAGTCTCAATCAAGCATATGAAGGCAGACGGAAGGATAGGTATTGCTGCAGGAAAGACGGGAAAAAAGGGACGTAAGAGTGGAAATTAATGATAAAGACACATTGGGGTGAGAGGAGTTCTTGTGTTCTTGATATTTAATTTATAATATTTCGACTAGTCAAAGTTTCATATTAAACAATATAATTAGTAATATATGTAAGCTACGCACGCAGTGGTGTGAGCTCGGAGCAGTTTAAGATCGTAGGCAGTGGAATTATATGGTATCGCTTATCGTGTGGTGTTCTCCCTCTCTCCCATGCATGGCGTTCAAAGGGAGAAAACTACGAACTTGATTCATCTATTTATATGACGCTAAGGGACATGATTACCTCGCAGTAGGAACCTTCGTACCTCAGCGCGCACGGGGAACTTTCTTGGATGCAGACATGCAAGCATACTTCATCGTGATGTTTTGTTTAGCTCGGGAGCACGAAGGGTGACAAACGTTGACTTATCACAATGATGTTCTATCCAGCATCCTACTGGGTAGCATAAGACAATATGTTCCCCGTTCCCCTCTCTTTCTCTCGAGGAACAAGAGGAGACTTTTTTGCTCAGGACTGCATCTTCCCAGTGGTTTCCTGAGAGAAGAAGGAGAGGGACGCTTTTCACTTCCTTCTGCATGACCTCTCTCTGTTGGCCTCTACATTCAGTCATAGAGAGGATCGGTACAGTCAAGAAGCACGCAATCAGACAACCATAGTCAACGCTTTTCCCCTTTCGAAGTAATTCCATGGTGACCTTCCGAGAAGACAGGTTCTTGACTGTGACCATTTCCCAGGATCAGAGGCGGCGTGTCATATCTGGAGGGGACTCCATGCGTGGAAGCTTCTTGGCGGCTGAGGGAGCTCCGATCCATGCTTCTGGATGCACAACGGGAGAAGAAGATCCTAAGGATGCTGTTCGACTAACTCAGTCGAAGTGTACTCTCGATGTCACCTCCAACAAAGATAAGGATGTGATCACATACCCTTCTTCACCTCAGTAGTTTTCAAGCCACATAATTAAGCATCCTGTCAATTGATCTCTCTGATGTCAAGGTTCCTAGTTGAATACACTAGTAACTTGGAATTAGGTGCATCACCAGCTAATGCGCCATTCTTTTGGATAAGGAAGCCTTGATGGAACAGATTGTATACATAACTTCTGATGGAGCTGCTTTTGCATTCCTGGTGCCAAAAGAGGCACTCGTGGACCATAACTGTTGAAGATGATATCTAAGCTGAATGGTCGAAGGCTGGAGATGAAAGGAAGACATGCTTGGATGTCCTTGCAGCCTCTGATCGGTTTCTGTGGAGCAGGTTGCCTTCTGTACCAATCCTTGCAACTTCATGATGCAAGCAGAATGATGCTCTCTTACCTCAGCTGAATGGACGGCCACAGGCGGCTGGCTTTCTTCGGGATACATGTGATCGTCGCCACCAAATCATTATCTGATGGCTACAAAACTCATGTGAGCGCCACTTTCATTGCAGCAAAGATCAAATTTGCGGGGCCACGTCCAAAGATCCGGTACCCGCGCCGCCGTAGCATACAACGAAAAATGAGAGATTAAACAGTGGCAGCCTACTCTTAAACTGTTTGAAGTCATGACATCAAGAAAGAGATTTATTATAACTGATAAGGCTTTCCTTTCCTAAATGATTCCCAGAAACACCCTTCACTTCTTCGAGATGCCTTTTTTTCGGCGGTTTGACTAACGGACCCCGGCGGTGACACATGGTCAGCTCATGACAGATGTCAGGTTCTGAGATAATGGCCAGAAAACAATTCATGCATGGTCCTTGCAGCTGATCCTTGAGTCGTGCGAAGACGAACGACCCAAGTCTGCGCGCAAGTGCAGCACGCTGCGGAGGTGAATGGAGATTGGAGGGCAGTGAAGCAGCAACTTGGAAGCTTCCAGCTTGAGCAAGGCAGCTCAGTGGAAAGGAACTTAGGCGAAGGAAGCTCAGTGGGAAGGTACTAATGGATACTGCAAACTCACTCCCAATTGTATGTCATTAAGCGCCTATGTTTTGCTGTTTTATACGTTGCTATAAATATATAAGAAGGTGAATTCTCGTAGATCATGGCGGCAGTCGGAGTTCCATTTCATGCCAAAGCCGGTAGCATGGCCCACTTCCCCTCCCGAAGCCAGGGTAGCAGCTCCTCCAACAGCACACCGCTCCACGCCGACGCAGCGGCGCCAGCGTTTGATCTCTCCGACTTCATCATGTTTGATCAGGCCGAGTTCGCGCCGCCGTCCTCCTTCGGTCCTGAGCCGCCAGTAGTTCCTCCGATGGTAGATGGCGGCCGCAGCAATGACCAGAATAGCAACCTGAGCAACATCACCATCAACAGCGGCGACATGACTGTGAATGCCAGGTGAATATGGTGTTCAATTCCTTCTTCTTTCCATTGCACCACTAGAATTCATGCGCAGTACATACTCTCAAGTTGGCCGTTGCTTAATCTGGGGAATGCCTTGGAAACACAGGAGCACTGGTGTGGAAGGAGAAAGAAGGGAAGAGACATCTAGGATTGCATTCAGAATGAAGTCAGAGGTGGAGGTCCTCAACGACGGATTCAAGTGGAGGAAGTACGGGAAGAAATCAGTGAAGAACAGCCCCAACCCCAGGTATGCCAAGTGATTGTTTCCGAAATTGTTATGGGGAGGATCCGAGTTTTGCTTCATCAAGAATGATTTAATGCTATGCTTATGCCAACCCCCATTGTCCTCGATGCGAGAGCATCATCTCCCTCTCCCTGGTGAGAGGTTGTGATCACAATGATTTTGCTGCCAATAGTTCTGAGATTAAGAATCATGCAAATGGATCCATGTGATGGTCATATAGATCTTGTTCATGGATCATCAGAAAGCTGCAAGAACAGCTAGCTGCATGTTTGTTAGGAGATCGAGATCAAACGCAATTACACTGCTAGAACTTACTGGTTAAGAAGTATATATCATCGGTTCACTAACTTCAGCACTGGGCAAAGCAGGAACTACTATCGCTGCTCCACAGAGGGTTGCTCGGTGAAGAAGAGGGTGGAAAGAGACAGAGAAGATCCCAGCTACGTGATAACAACATACGAAGGGATCCACAACCACATGAGCCCTGGCGTCGTCTACTACACAACCCAAGACAGCGTCTCCGGTCGATATTATGTTGCTGGCTGCCAAGTGCCTCCAGATTCCTGACCTCTGCATGCTGCTGCTCCACCCCACCAATGGAGTTGGCCGTCACTAGCGAGCAAAGAAGTACTTCTGCAGTGCTTTCTACTATCTTCTTTTCCCCTTCTTGGAACAGTGAGCAGTACATTGGTTCGTCGTCTCAGTCACCAACTTTAGTTCCAAGATTTGTGCCTCAAATCGCGCTTTCTTGCTATTGTCGACGCACACCTGTTACATTATGAATATGCGCAGTATAAGTTTCTCTGGATTCCTCGTGTGTCCTTTCTGATCGTTTCATCTATTATGAAATGAATCGAGGCAATGCCTCGTTTTCCACAAAGAAGAGGAAGTGAGAGTTCACTTCCTCGCAAGATCACTTCTGCCGATACTTGGAAGTTTTACGTATCAAGGGTTTAGTGTGAATCGAACATTTAGCTAAGCCAACTTTTCAAGTACACCACTTATATACAATAAATCTAAAGATTGAAATCTGAAACCAAAAAAAAGAAAAAGGAAGATAGATATGTTCTTTCGGAATCGATAAAAACTTTACAAGGAATTAAACCATCTATCAAATTCTCCAACGCAGTCTATGAGAGACGGCTTCCTCACAGGTTCCTGCATAGAGAATTGATGTCCACTGCAGAACGTCCATAGGGTTAAGTTCGAGAAGCACTTTAAGGGCTAAACGGAACATCACACCTCTGACCAATGCATTTCTGAACCCCAAAAAATCTGTGGAACTTTTCCCATGTGATGGTGAGTTGGAAGCGAAGAGGAAGGCGCTGAGAGAATTTTGCTTGCCATGCAATAGGTTGTGTTCACAATCCCCACTGTGGTGGGTGGCCCATTTTTACTTTGAATTTGACTTTTGACCTATGACATTTTGACTTTCTGAGGTGGTTTGCACCAGCTTTTGACGATTTTATTGCAACCTTGGCCACACTGGTCGTCAATTAAGTTACACCACAAAGGCAAGTCTCCAGAGTGACTTCTTTAGTGGTTAGAGTATCCTATAGGAATGCCACGTAATATTTGAATAAAAAATAAATTAAGAAAATGGATATGAAACCAGTCAATTAGTATACATGTAATTCCAAGAAAATATATATTTTTTTTTTCCTTCGAAACAGCTAAATATGCAAAAAAAACATAAAGAGTGGGATGAATCGATCAGCATATCAAAGTTCATAAAAAAAAAATAAAAGAGGACAAAATTAAACAATTAATTAAAAAAAAAGATAAAAGAAGAGGAAGAAGCTCTTGCACTATTGCAGTTTATATATATTTTTATATATCCATCGTCGCGTGGAAAGGGCAAGGAGAAACGGGCGAGGCAAGCCATCGTCGATTCCTGCGGCTTCTTCGCCGTGGCGCCGAGGAACATAGGAAAAAGGTACGTTTTCCTTGCCACACTCCTGCTAACGCTTATCTGTTGCTCCGAAATCTACTCTCGTAGTATGACACACAAATTTCTTGGGATTCAGGTGAATCCATAGGATAAGGGCAGCGGGAAGCGGCGATTTTGGCTTGGGGTACTCTTCCGAGGGACGGACATCCGTCAGGGTAGTCAAGGAGCTCGAGATGGAGAAGGGCGCTGATCCTTTCCAAGGCAGCACCGCCTTGGCCGCCGTCGTTGTCATCACCCCTGTCTGGCTTGTACGAACAGGTTACGTTATTTTTTCTTGAACATGTTTGTTAGGGTTGTGCAGAGTTTTTCCTTTCCAAATTCTGAGAACATTTAGGTTATTGCTTGGATGGAATTTCCGCTTGCCTTTTCATATCAATTTTAGTTCTCAACTAGGGAACTTTGGAAATCAATATGAGGTGAGGCATATGTCGCACATTTACAAAAGAATTAGATCGCATAGGTGAATGACTCTCTGCTGAGACAAAATTATGCAGCACTTCGTTCAAATCCAGTTCTATTTGCCCTGACCTAGTGCACCTTGAGAAGTGGGGTTCCTTGCTGTGTCATTTCTGCTTCCGTTTAGATTGTGATAAACATATATGCTGTGGGGCTTCAGAATAATATCCACAAATGCAGTCGCAGCTTTCACCTGTACAGAGGGATGACACAGGAAAGGGAGGTTTAAGATATGTGGAATTGTGACAGAAATTGTGATATAAGATACCAGAGAGGCCAAAACCCTCTATGTAAGTTTGGCTTAAAATGGTTGTTCAAGAAAGAGAAAGTTATGATGAAAATGCTGCTTTAGAAAAGGAAAATATAAATAAAAATATCATCATTTAGAAATTGTAAGATATAAGATACCAGAGAGGCCAAAACCCTCTATGTAAGGTAGGCCTAAAATGGTTGCTCAACAAAGAGAAAGCTATGATTAAAATGTTTCTTTAGAAAAGGAAAATATAAATAAAAGTATCATCATTTAGGTTTTGGAATAGAAAAATTATGAATTGATATTAAAAATTTACAGCTTACTATGTTGAAATTTTATTATTTAGCAATTTAGTTTTTCTAAGACCTTAGTTCAGATGATTCTTTGAGAGTTCATAGAATGATAGAAGACTAGTGCTTGATAGATCTGAAATAACATTTGAGCAGATACTGAGATAGTGACTGAATATTGACATTCAATATACTAAAAGCTTCATATTCGGTAACACGATCTGAAGCCTGCTTTTGAATTGGTCTCTTCAAAGTTCCTGACTCTGAACCTTTTTTATGGTGCTGCAGATACCTTTTGTTATGATTGCTTTAATTGGACAGAGAATTCCTATGTCCATGTCTATGTGAAGAGAATTCCATATCTTATTTCTACGAGTCAAGGATTAACCACTATAAACATTGAAAATCACACGAAAGAATTTCAGGTCATGGGTTATAGCCTGCTTTGGTTGAAGATTGGATGGTAATATATAACCAGAAGATATTAGTGACACATATGAGTGCACCACAGTAGAAATTAAGACATACATGGAGGAACATTATTTCTATATGAGAAGATATTAGTGACGCATAGACTGCAACATAACTAGAAATTAAGAC